CCATTGATCGTTTGGCCATTTGTTTCCTTGGCCCAGTTTCAGATACATTCCGTTTTAAAGCTTCATCAATTAACGTTTTCCGATCAGAATATGACACTGGAATACTAACAGACATACTACGGGTGATGTCTGGGTGCAGTTTGTAGTACCGCCCAGCAATTTCGGATAAATCTATTATATATTCGAACTTTTCTTTATTCATTCGAATTAATGTTGGCACATTCTCACCATTCTTCGGTGGACCTCTGATGAACATCTCACCGCTTAGTTGAATTTTATTTAGAGCATTTAAAAAAATTGTATTTATTCTAAAAATTGGCAATTTGTCGCTAGAATTATATGAAGCACGTGTCAAACGAACATAATCATCTTCCCTCAATACTTCGGTGCCTAATAAAAGTTTTCTGTAATGTGGATATGTTACCATTTGCTGTAATAATCTCTTTTCACTCGCACTCTCAATTTTTGCGAAGAATGAATGTTCTATAGTATACTTATATTGCTGTGATACGGTGAATACTGAAGCAACCTCTTTTGCCCGTTTAATAGCTTTAAGGTAAGCACTGGCCAACTCACCACGTTTCGTATTCTTTAGTAAATAAATTTGGCTATCATTATATATTGCCTTTTCAATCGCTTGTGTTGAATTCGAAGCATCGTAGGCTAACCATGGTAGAATAGATTCGTATGGTAATTTTATCGTATTGATCGTATCGGGTAACATCAATGGCTTCAAGGCATATAATATTTCAAATCCACTATCATTTGATTCCTTTAATCGTTGATGAACCAATGCTGGCCAGTACTTTATTTGATCACCTCCGACCTCTTCAAATAGGGACTCATATTGACTTGAACTCAATAAATATTCTATTTCGCCCCAAACAATTTCTTCGCAACGATACATACTAATGAATTTCTCTAACTTTTTAGGATTTTTCTCTTGTATTAAAGATGTTTTTGTTGTAGTTTCGACTTTATGTACTTTTAAGTTAGATGTTGATGTCAAGTTTAAAGTTTCATTCTGAAGTACATTTGATTTAATTGTCTTTTTAAGGTAAGGATCTAATTCATTGTTTCTGCGCGGAGTTGAGCCCGCATTCAGGCCTAGATTCCATTCTTTATCACAGTATCTACATTTACAGGAAGAAGTCTTATCTGAAGCTAACCATAAGAGATGTTCTTCAAATTCGGCAGGCGAACGGTATTTTGAACCATTACCTACAAATATAAAGTTATGTTTAGTATACAATTGATATGGGATTAATTATTAAACTCACCAAACAAATATGTGTCTTTTCTTGTGGGTTTAGCATTACCCAATTCGTCTGGTGGATATTGTTTAACGTGTTCATATAACGCATAACCGTCAGGTAAATCATTTAAAATAGCTTAAATTAAAAAAATACAATTTTAGTAATAACATTTCAAAAATCTTTTGTCATTGCATTTGTTATATATACCATTTGGAACTTTGATTCCTTGTGCTTCCAACGCATTACCGAGTGTATTACCGAGTTTTGCAGCATATAGAGTAGCTTTATGTTCATCTTTGGCAACTATCTTATAGAAGAAAATGGCACCATTTTCGTAAGGTTTTTGATTCGTATCGGGATGATTTGACTTGTTGCCATCAGAGTAAGTTACAGTTAAACCTGTTTCTGTTACTTTAAAATTAACAAAGTTCATATCCTCGCAGTATTAGATTTACATTAAGTTTTCATTAAGCGAAAGATATTTGAACGCTGTAAGAAGCATGATGGAAGTTTGTTTTAATTGGTCAACATTTTGCATCTACCTGCGATTACCCGTGATAATTAACCAATCAAATTACATAATTAATACTAAGAAAAACATATAAAAAAACTTTACAATTAAAAATATTTATTTTAGGACTTAATTAGGCATCGCATGCTGTGATTAGTGTTTCGATCCTTAATCCGACTTTCCAAATTGACCTCTAAATCCAGATAGATTTAGATATCTAATCAGAGAT